GGGGGTGTCTGAATCAGTGTCCTGCCTTCAAGCAGGGCAACAAGGTCAGGACAGGAGGTGGCCCATCATTTGACCTCTCTGAGGAGGAAGGATGCTCTCAGCTAACTGCTCCCCAAAGCTTGGCTTTGGGGCAGACCCAGCTGCTGAGTACCTCCAAGATGCAAAACAAAGATGGGGATGTACAAGAGTTCAAACCTGGGCAGAAATAAAATACTGGGTTTTAACTGTCCGGAGGTGGACTTGGGGGTGGGGACTGAGGGCCCCTCCTGGCCCTGCCCACCCGCTCTGAGGCACTCCCAGGGGGCACAGAAGTTGAGGCCAGCAGTGGGGAGAAAATTCACTCTCCCCCAGAGGGAAGGGAGGAGGGAAGTGGCAGCAGTGCCAGGGCCTTCCCTGAATTCTTCCCCTGTCTGCCAGGGAGTGGCAGTGTTGTTAATCATTATTACTGTATGCAAATCAGTATGCAAATCCCACAGGGCTTGGGGACTCCAGGCAAATGCTAGTGCAGCCCACGCCCACCTCTTGAAGGGCCAATTATGCGCCTTTCAGACTGACACTCTGGAGGGGGCTTTGGGGAGAGTGGGAGGAGTGAGTGAAAAGGGGGCTCCAAGCTCCCAGGGGCCACTGGGGCCTACATCACAATGACCCGCCCTCCCCCCTTAATCTGGAACAGGATGGGGGTTCTCACAAGCGAGAAGCCCCCTTCTGGATCAGAGAGGTCCTTTCCCAGCCCCCGCCCGGCTAGGACAGCCTTTCCAGCACACCCTCCCCCTTCGCCGCTCACTTCTCTTTTTGCTCGGTCTCTCTCTGGGGCAGGCACCTCTCCGCACCCAGAGCTGTGATCGCTCAAGTCCTGCGTTCTGGTGCTGCTGCCCAGCGCCAGGCCGAGGTCCTGGGTTCCTGGCACCGGGCCGCAGACACGGGGAAATTTAGAGCCGGGGGTCCGCACAGTCGGAGGGGACCGAATTCTCCGCGCCGCCGCAAGTGTGGGAGTCTGGGTCGCATATTACTCCAGGGATGCTGGGGGGAGGTGAGGGGGGACCGCTGCCCTTTGGCACATGCCGACCGTCGGTTCCCCATCCTGGGCCGACGCACCAGGCAGTGGGAAATCCACGGGCTTCAGGGATGGACCGACGGACTGGACGGACCCAGATTGAGAGTTCACGCTCCCAAGTCCAGACTCGGATCTGGGTACTGGGTTCATTTTGGCGGGGTAGGAGGTCGAATCCCTACCTTCAGGTGGTGCCCCTCGCGCTCCAGGTGGAGAGCAGCTCTTATGCGGGGTCAGGGCAGTACGTGTGTCCTCCCCCCACCCCACCCCTGGGACCTGCCCTGAGCCAGCACCTGGAGCTGAGGCGCAGCCAGCCGGAGAGCTTGCGTGGTGGCGGGTTTCACTTCACCAGGTGGCCGGGCTCGCCAAAAGCAGGGGCTGGTGTCGGGTGGACAGTCGGCGAGAAACAGACACGCAGCTCGTCCCCACACACCCCGTGCGCGCACACACAGGCTCTCCCGGCCACCTCTCCCTACAAACACACCTCCAGCGCCCGCTCCCTGCTCAACCCCCACCCAAGCCGCGCTCACCTCGCCACGCTCACCCCCGTGCCCATCCTCGCGGGCACACTCCGCCACCTCCAGGCACACCCTAGGATTCCTCCACTCGCGGGGGAGACGCATCAGGCTCTGCCTCGTCTCCCCGCCCCCCAACCCCGCTCACGCGCGCGCCCCTCTACACACACACACACACACACACACACACACGCGCACACACTCACACCCTCGCGCAGGGGGAGTCACTCCCCCACTCCCC